AAATATTTTATGTAGTATCAGAGTTTTGTGAATATTTGATATAATAAGACACAAAATACAGTTAATATGAGTACAACACAATATATCCTCTAGTGATAATATGGAGATAATGTATTACTGTACAACACAATACAACAAAATATAATACAACTTACTATTATACTATGTGTCACACTGAATATGTAAACACTGTTAGTAGTTGTACTCTCATCACCATCAACAGTCACTTGTCCCCCAAACATTATTCCTCTGTTACCGGTAGTAGTAATCTTCTCAATTATGATACTATTAGTTGGTGGACAACACTGTCCAATAACAGATGAAACAGTGAATTGTCCTAAATTGAAGAGAATACATAATAATAATAATTATTGTATAGGGGGTATATTTCCCGGGGAAAATATTTCAGGAAAATCACCTTTCAACCTATTCACAAGAAACAAATTTTGCGTTTTTCTTCTACTGACTATTATTAGTATGGTAAAAAATAATTTTCATAAATAAAAATTTTCACAAATTATTTAAAACCGTGATATTAGCAAAATTAAATGCTTGTGAAATATACCCCCTATACGGTATGTAATTTTGTCATATAGACACAATTGTGTATTAGACTAGATCATTATTAGTAAATCAATCATAATGTATACATGTACATGTACATGTATAAAGCTATTCATTAATATGAAGAGAATCTTACCAGTGGACACATTATAAAGTAACTGTTCATTAGTACGAACATGACCATTCTTAAGTTGATGATATTGAAACTGAGGATGGTAAACAGTTGGTGTAGAACCATACCCTCCTATTATGACAAGGTATTCTGCTCCATCAAATTCCAGTGATATCATTCCAGCATAGCCTTTCTTCATCAACAACTGTTCAGTATTACTGCATGAAGTCCACTGCATCTTTATCGTATTCAGTACATTCAACGTATTGTGGTAACAGTAATCATGACCACACCATCCACCGAAATAGTAAATATTAGAATGAGAGGTGGTACAGGAGTAGGCAGTGACTCCTAATGGAGGAGTACCTCTTGTTAGGTGAGAGGACCAGTCAGCAGTAGAAAGCTGGTAGACATCAACTGTTGAGGTCAGTTCCCTCTTTTGAAGGGAGTCATGAACT